TATATATATATATATATATATATATATATATATATATATTAGTTTTACACATTCTTTTTAGTGCGGACATAACAAACTCGTACTATTTTCTTACCTTTTTCTTTTTATTTCCAGTTTCCCGAACTTTTCCACAAACAATTTCACGTTCCAGAGTCTTAGATGCTACAGTTGCATGTAAGTAAAAGCATACAATACATGTACATACATAAACACACACACTCACGCACCCACCCACACACGCGCGCGCGCACACGTATGTATGTATGTGTGCGTGCATATATATATATATATATATATATATATATATATCGTTCGAGATAATATTTGATTGTTTCAATAGCGTACATAATGGGCGGTATTTCTTATATTTAAACTGATTTTACGTTTAAGATCATTTTGAGTTCATCTCAAGATGCTATGCATCCAATAAAATAGCTATAAAATAGCTACAGCATCTTAAGGTGAGTACATGATGTTAGATATAAGATCGGCGCATGCCTGTGAATATTGCCCAATATGTATATTATTAAATCATTAATCAGAAAATATATGTAAACGTTTGTGCGCGCGCAAATTTACACATATAGAGTGTTGGATCAAAATTTTTATTCTTAGATGATTGTACACTTGCATGACTGTACAATTAAATGGTCTCTTATATCTCAATGTGTGTGTGTGTATGTGTGTGTGTATGTGTGCGTACGTGTGTGTCTGTCTGTCTGTCTGTGTGTGTCTGTAAGTTTTGGCAGAATGTCCTAGTTTATTTAATTTTTCATGCACCTCAACAATACGCTCACCATGAATTTGACGGTTGATTGCATTATCAATAGAATGTCTCACATGTCATTTCGTTGATTGGCTGTTACATTACAAGTTTAATTTTTTTAGTCTTTTATTATTGTTTATATTACCGTTGGTACGCATAGAAGATGATGTCGAGTAGGAACAACATACAAACGTTTAAATATATCGTTTTTGCATTCATAACATTTAGCAACATACAATTTGTTTTTTTCTATTAAACATTATTTTCGCACCAGCGCACGGTTTTTATTAGTTTATTTTGATATTAATTTCATTTCTTAGAGAGTTAATACTTATTCTATTTTAAAACTTTTATAACATTTGACGAATATCTGTAAGGATTAAGGTAATAGAGATAATATTGACTATTTTTGCGACTCAAAGAGACCGCGTTTTTTCTTGCAGTCTTTTTGTTGATTTGCGTTTAAAAACGCGAGGGTCCTAACTTACATAAGCAGATATGTTCGTTATTGCTACAAAAGTTAATACAAGTAAAAATAACGGTATACGTACGTTAAAACAGAGAGAGAAAGAGAGAGGGGGGAGAGAGAGAGAGAGCTAGAGAAAGAGAGGAAATGTAAAAGGGGGTAAATGAGGGAGGAAAAAAGAAGTAACGTATAACGCGGTTTTATCAATAACGTACGTGCTTACGTACTCATAAGCTTGACTCTAATTGAAATACCACGGAGATACTGTCGTAAATGAAAGATATAGATGATAAAAAAGGTTTGTTCGTAAAGCTGTTACGAGATTCTTCTCTTTTTTTTTAGTATTTAATACGAACTCTGTATGTTTCTTTAGTGTGCTATTTCTCTAGGTAAAAATGTTTCGCTGTATTTGGTCGCATATAGCACGGAAAACTCATAAAACTTTTGAAATCCGAAAATAACTTGATTTCTTAAGATACTCGAGATAAGGATAACAATGAAAATTATAGCAATATATTATAGCGACAACCAAAACAGTCGATAATGTAAACGCTCTTCAATTATCCGTGTGTTCCGTGAGGCATATATTGATAGACTCGTATTTACCCTGTGCCGCCCATCGGCAACGTTACTAGCACCTCGTTAGTCAGATTTGAATCAGGACGTTCGCGCGCTCTGACGGTGATGTCCGAAATCGGATCGCGCGATTCGGCGCCTGCGCACGAGTTATCGTGTGCTGTCTCGCCTGCTCAGGACGAACCGAAATAAATCGAACGACGCTGAGCCGATCAGCAGTACGGTATTTGCTGAACGTGAGCGTTCCGTGTTAGTGATGATCAAAACGAACCGTTACCGTCATTCCGATTGTTGTTCGTGGCACTGTGCGAAGACGAAACAACCGTGATCCGTAATTCGTGCTTCGAGCACCGAGTTGCAAGGTAGAGAAAAGACCAAGAACCTGCGTTGTCGTTCGCTGTCGCGGTCACGGATGCATATGGAGGTGCGTATAATGCCCATTTCGACGCATCCTCCCTCATTTCTTTGTACGTGAGTCTGTTTAATTTAATTACGATTCTTTACCGTTTTGCAATCGTGTCAATAACGGTTGCAAAATGTTTTGGATATTTCGAGAAGCATCGATACGCGTTGCTGCGCGACGTAACGCTACGCGCGATACAGTACCGCTCGAAAGCGAACTGCACGAAGACGACTCGTGCACATTTGTATCGCGATTAGAGAATATTTGTTTTGCCATTTCGGTCCGACGTAGCATCGTATCCTCGGGGGCGTCGTCGACTGTGAATTCAAAGGGTAGCCGAAATCATAACAGTTGCATACTCCATACTTGCCTTCGTTCGTCTTGAACTACGCATCAATGCTTTCGTCTAAACATTTTTTTGACCAGTTTAACGAACAATTTTTTTCGCATAGTAGGATAATTGTTGCGCATTGAACTTACACACGATAAAGCTCACGGGTGTAAAGGATTGTGTTTGTGTATGCGTTCTCAGCTGACGGAGTCTGTCAGCTGCCTTCGTACGCCATGCCCCGCCTCACCTCTGCTCACCTTACCTCGCCCTCGCCTTCGCTCTCGCTCTCGCCCCGCCATCGCTATAGCATCGCCCTCGCCCCTACTCTCCTCTTTTCCTCTCTTCTCTCTTCTCTTCCTATCTTGCTCCGCCTAGCCTAGTCTAACCTGGGCGTAAGCTCGCTTCACCTCACCCCACCCCACCTTATCTCGTTTCGTCTAACCTCTCCTCTCCTCGCTCCGTTTCGCTTCGTCCCTCCGTGCCGCTCTTCGTTTTACCCTGTTTTACCTCACCTCGTCATACTTCCCCTCTTCGTCCCTCACCACACGACTTTATCTCGTTTCACCTAACCTCACCTCATCTTACTTCGCCCAATCTTATTTTACCTCACCTCATCTCACTCACTTTGTTCGCCTGCCTTGTTTTGATTCGCTAGGTTGTAAACAATCAAATTAACATTCCGTTGTCCACTGTTTTCCCCGTTATCGCGGCTTAAATTTTAACTTAATTGCGGCTTAATTTTTAAGATATAACATATCTTTTCGTAATAGGAATTTTGTTTATATATATATATATATATATATATATATATATATATATATATATATATATATGATTTTTTTTAATTAATTTATCGCACGACTTTTTCTAGTTGATTAAAATTTACTATTTCTTTAGGATATAAATTTTTTTTCTATAAATAATATGTGTATTCTCTATAAAGTTTGATCGTTGTTTGACGATTTTGATGGTTTTTGTGGTAATCGTTATCAATATGTATTCGCAGAACATATTTTATTAATTTCTCTTACGGATGTAATAATTTTCTCTCTCTTTCTTTCTCGATGACAACGTACACACAGTATTATAAATATGACACGCTTGTATGTCTATCACAAACGGGAACGCCGCTGAATAATGCATATTAGGTTATTTTGCATGTACATACATATCCGCAGTTGATTCAATTGTTGCATCTTGAAAATATCAAAACTATAATCTCTATAAAATGGGTCTTTGAACGCTTTTTTCAAAGATTTCAATTACTACTAGATAAATATTCTCACCTTTCGGACAGTTATTTTGTTTTTTGTTTTTCATATAATAATTCGACAACCATGTTCTATGAACGAGTCGTAAAGAAAATAAGCGTACGCGACAAAGAACGATGACCCGAATTGACTTCTCCTAGTACAGTCCATCGCGCTTACCGCTCTCTCTCTCTCTTTCTCTCTCTCTCTCTCTCTCTCTCTCTCTC